TCGCTAAAATCTTGGCTTCTATGTCAATTTTGAAGTTGGTCTCAATTTTCGCCTTGAGTTACCGAACAGAGTATACCCCAAAATAGTTTTCAGTTGAAGATGATGTTGAATTTGAGTTAATTCAAATACTGGAGAACGCTAACAACGGATCCATATCTCTTGGTCATCTTGGACACGCTCATATGGAACAAGAGAGAATTTGGCCACAGGAATTTCGATCGAGGAAAAGATTGCGAAAAGAGAGAAGGTATAAACTTGCTTTACAAATTTGAGGTGGCTAATTCTTATCTTTCAAGGGGTAAGGGCAGTAAGAGGAAAGCATATCCAAAGTGAAAAGGGGAACTCAAGAGATAACTTGTTTGATGGCTAGTCGATTTGACAGTCAATTTAGTGTTTCTGCTTTGCCTAACGCACTATAACTTTTTTGAGTTCAAGCCGCAAACAAGTCAACAGCTACCGTGACAATTGTTTTTGTGCGAACATTCCCTTGCAGCAGGGATAACGAAGTTTTTACTTACAAATCTACCATGCTGCTCTGCGCATCCTTTCGGACATCCCCGATTACTTCACACACATGCATTATATTGATGCTCTTTCAAGCTCAGTGGTGTTGTGAAAGGGCGAAGGAACAGGGAAATATTTCATGTGTAGAGCCTTTTATATCTGAAGCTCAAAGGCAGCGTCCAGAAATGCGGAAGAATAATTTTTTGCTCAATTATTTTCGGAAAAAATTGAAAACTGATAGGGTGAACTTGCTTTGTTTGAGGAGAATCGGACATGTACAACATCTCGATCGCCCAGGCAGCTTCGGCGCTCCCATATTCCATCCAACGTTGGATACGAAGCAACGACAGCATCACTCCGATAAAGTGGATTATTCGAATCAAGATGCCAAACCGGTAATGCTTCAAGCCGAGACCATTACCACGACAACGACTGCACCGCTTTTTACATTCCCAACATTTCCCCCTTACACTTTCCCTACAATCCTTCCCTCCCCGCACCTATTACTGTTCGATGGCCACAACTCTGTTCCCACTCCCAGAATGGTGAACAATGTCTCAGTTTCTTCGCATGCATTTGGAATTACTCAGCCGAATCATTCTGCGTTACCATCCGCAGCTGTGAATGGTCAAACGCATGCTTTTGAGTCTCCGATGTCGGCGTTCATGCAGTTACCACACCTTCACCAGTTGCCTCAGCCTCAGCTAGTCTCAAATGACATTGGTGCGCAGGAGCACAATGGAACGATGGCGAGTCCATTCAATATATTCGCTGCCCAGCAGGCGCACCATGTGGATTCACAGTCTGCAGATCATCAGCGAATGGCTCTGCCACTCTACCAGCCTTTTGAGGCTACACAAACACCTGTGAAGCACAATGACTATGCTTCTCTTCTAGAACAACAAATCCTTAACCCCTTTTCCTACTCGCCTAACGCACAGGTACTGCTTTTGATTTTTTGTGCTCAATAAGTTTGTCTTGCAAAGTTGAAAGAGCAAAAACCATAGTGTGACTCTAATTCCAGACAACAGCAACTCACCTAGGAAGGCAGAAGACAGATAGATTACCAATACGTGGTGAGGAAAGAACTGACGTGGTAGAGCCGTCACTGCCACCGACTCATCAACAACTAGGGGCGCTATTCCGTCCTCCACCATTCCCCGCCCTTACTTCAGCACTACAAAATTTCCAAGCACAGGGATAAGACGAAAATCTATGCTTACACAAAACAAGGTCACAATCACCATATCGCAATACTGGTTAACGTGTATACTATGTGTGGTCACATTGTCACCAATTTCACACCGCAATCAAAGAGTCACATGGTGCCTAATATATTGTTGTGATAAAGATTCAGTCTCTATTTCGAGTTTTCTGTGATCTTGAAGACTGAAGTGCATTTATATGTTGTTTTTTTTATATTTGAATCTGTTGCTTGCTGCTTTTGGAATTCGTAATGCACACCAGCGGCGTACCCAGGATTTCCGTTCGCGGAGGGGG